TCGTGTTGACGGTCCTGGTCTCTAAAGGCGAGCCAACTCCCGAATATCTGCCCTCCGGAGTTCACGTTAAGTTATTATTACAGGTATTTATAGAGCGCCAACAATTTACGCAGCACTTTACATAGCTCCACATTCACATCAGTCCCTACCCTCAAGGAGCTTACAATCTAAGGTCCCTATCTCACATGCATACATAGAGGGCCAACTTAGAGAATAGCTAATTAACCTACCAGCACATCATTGGAGTGTGGGAGGAAACCGGAGTACCCGGGGTAACCCACGCAAGCACAGGGAGAACATGCAAACTCCTTGCAGATAGTGACCTGGCCGGGATTCAAACCGGGGACCCCCAGTGCCGCAAGGCAGAAGCGCTAACCACAACGCCACTGCGCTGCCCAAGTTGATGACATTCATCTCCAATCATGAAGAAAGAAAGCAGAGTAACCATAACAGCCATTTTCTTGTCCTCGTCATGAACATCTACAATCTCGTTTCGCCGCCTTCCACGGCAGCGATTAGCGGCTCATGCTCGAATTAAGTGTTCCTTGTTAATTGACCGAGTCAGTAACAGCCCCGAGAATTATCAATACGGCATTGTCACCTAATGACACGTGAAGTGTGTAAGAGTTTTATTAACAGTTCCATGAAAAGCTGAAGGTGCCGAATCTCAAGAGCAAAATTCCGAACTGTTTCTTCTTCTTCGTGTTTAAAGGGGAAGTCCGGCGCATTAAAAAATAAACCAACGTGCTCACATTAACATTTAAACTGTTAAAGGTGAACTGCAGGCAGATAAAATCCAAATAGGAGTAGGAAATATGTGCAGAAAATAGGGCGCTGAAGGGGAGTAAAGGTTCCAGCAGGAAAGTAAGGATGTCCCTGGGAGGAACACAGGGGGCGGCACTGAACTCTGGAAGACAGCCCTGTTCCATGATGTCCTTGGTTAGGTCTTCCTGCCCACAAGCAGCGCAGAAACATATGGGCAGGTCAGGCAAGGGAGGCCAATTTGAAGTGGACTTATCACTGAAAATCCCCCCCCCCCGACAACCTGTTAATATTCCCTAGCAGGATGCTCCATGATGGTGATAAGACCTACTAATCACATACAGGCTGGAGGCCTTGCTGACAAAATAAGCCTTCATCCTGAGGCTGGCACTGCAGCCTGTGGCAGTTTTCATTTGTTTAGTTACTGTAATTGTCAGATACAAATCGCAGTATTTAAAAAAATTGAGCGAACACATACCAGCGTTCGCTCACCTCTCGATCCTGTCACTGATCGAGAGGATTCCCCCCTCCCCGCTCCGCCAGCGCTGACTGGCAGAACGGACGGGGGAGGGGCGGGTACAGCTGGCTCTGCCTCTAGATAGGCAGAGCCAGCTGTCAGTCACGCAGCTGGGCGGATCCCGGCATAATTGTCTGGATCCGCATCAGCGTCTCAGTATACCGCAAGCAGCAGCTCGCGGTATACTGAGCCTAGGGTGACGGAAGGACGCTAGCTTGTGTCCTCCCGTTACCCTAAGGAGAACTATGGGGAAAAGCCCTGACCCCATAGTTCTCCTTTAACTGCAAAGTTTTTGTTTTTTTTTGTAAGTCCTACATCAACACCAAGATGTATCTTAGCTGTTCAGAAAGCAAGTTAATTATGTCCACGGCGCTCGGCAGACATTGCTGGATAATCCTTCAGCATCTTCACCACCAATCACTTGAGGGAGGCTGCCGTCCCCAAAGACAACTGGGAAGCATCTTCATGAACCATGCAAAAAACAAACAGAAGGACAGAGCCCTTTCCTCGTGTAATAACGTTTATTCTAGGGATTCACCGATACCGGTATTTCAGTATCGAGTACCGATATTTTTTTTCCGGTACTCGCCAATACCGAGTACCAGAAGTCCCAATCAGGAAGCCAGGCGGCGTGCAATGACTCTCCACCCGGCTTCCCAATTAGCAGGGAAGCCGTCTCACTAGGTGACGAGAAAACGTGGAGCCGGCTTCCTGGCCAATTACGCACCGTGTAATGATGCGGCGCCCGGCTTCCTGATACAGGAAGTATTGGGCTATACATCGGAGCATTTGGAGAGTACGAGTATCGCCCAAATACTAGGCATCGGCACCGATACTAGTATCGGTATCTGTGCATCCCTAGTTTATTCAATGCAAAAATGTGTACAAATCAAAAACTACTCGCATATATATGATGGAGACAAGTGCCATAATAGACCGTACATGCAGGGCAGAGCCAAAGCAGCTGACGCATTTTGAGGGAAATCCCACCTTCCTCAGAGCTCTGAGGAACAGGGATTTCCCCGAAACGCGTCAGCTCTTTGGCCCTGCGCTACATATATGGTCTATTATGGCACTTGTCTCCATCATATATGTGAGTAGTTTTTGATTTGTACACATTTTGCATTGAATAAATGTCATCACATAAGGAAAGGGCGCTGTCCTTCTTTTTGTTTTTTTGCATGTATCTTAGCTGTGTTCATTTTAGAGCAACACCTAAACAAATGTTTTACCAGCAGCCTATTTATATAGATGATACAATTTAATATTAATGTCCCTGTAAGTTTACTGACCTTGAAAAGCCACAACAGGCTTGTAACACCACCGACAATGAGGAACATACACAATATACAATCAGTTCACAAACATCCCCTTCATGGTACAGAAACTACAACATGTATGTCGAAAAATGACTCAAATTCATTTATATTTTTATTCCTGAAATGGAAATCTGCAACATTTGTTCTTTATAAAAATAAAACTCTTCCACTCACATAAGGCACGCGTCATAAAATGGCCATACATGTAACGATCGAGGACTTGACTGCTTCCAATGCACAGCAGAGAGATCGATTCAGTTCAATTCGGATACATTTTACTTTCGGATGACGAGGATCATTTACGAATGGAACCGTCTGTTTGGTGCAATCTTCCACATCAGAAAGATTGTTCATATCGAACAATTGGAGTTTTACGCGCATGCCCAGCGTTAGAAATGGCCGTCAGAGACGTTAAGGCTTCCAGGAATAACAAAACGTGGAAAAACAACCAAATTGTCTTTCAAAAACATAATTTGTCAAAATTAGCTGCACAGTCCCAATAAAACTCCTTCATATTCATTAAAGTGAACCTTTCATATGAAACTGCAAGCTGGCCACAAGCTAGGTATAAAGTATTTTTTACTAGGGATGCACCGATACCGAGTATTTGGGCGAATGCTCGGACTCACCCAAATGCTTCCGATACTTATCCCGATACCGGAGCTTCCGGTATCAGGAAGCCGGGCGGTGAGTCATTATACGTCACCAGGGAGCATGGATGGATGGTAATAACTCTCCCTTCGGCTTCCTATTTGCCCAGAAAGCCAGCTCCATGCTCCCTCATTACTTGGTGACAAGGGAGCATGAAGCTGGCTTCCCGGCCAGTCAGGATGCCAAGCAGCGTGTAATGACTCGCCGCCCAGCTTCCTGATTGGTCGGGAAGCAGGCCAATCAGAAAGCCAGGCGGGGAGTCATTACCCGCCACCCCAGCTTCCCGATTGGCAAGAAAGCCGGCTCCATGCTTCCTCGTCACCCGGGAGAAGAGTGAGCATCGAGAGGCTTCCCGGCTAATCAAGAAACCGGGCGGCAAGTCATTATATGCCGCCCGGCTTCCTAAATGGGACTTCCAATATCGGTATTCCATATCGGTGTAAAGAAAAAAAAAATCGGTACTTGTACTGGATACCGGAAAAATAGGTATCGGTACACCCCTAATTGTTACTATTCAAGTTGTTTTCTGTTTTGTTTTTTAATGTATGGATTTTGGCAAGGGGTGGCTGGTCTACCATTTACTGGTTAAGGTGGCATAATTGTTATATTTTTTTCATTTAACCATTGGGCTGAATGAAAAAGAAAAATATAACAAATTCCTCCATCCATGCAAAACAGCATGGATGGATGAAGCTCCCACTGCGCTATTGTATTCTGACTGTGGTGCGTGTGCCACTGTCAGAGTACCTGAGCAGTGATGGCAGCCAATTGGCTGCAGTCACTGATCACCCGAAAACTTTCTGACCGTGCTACTTCGATTTTCTGATAGAAGGATGCTGGGCAGAAGAATGCTAACCCGGTCACCCACTGAAAAAAAAATGCACAGTGTACGGCCATCTTTTCTTAATTTTTACGTGAAAGATCTGATTTTTATGGATCATTTATCTGTTGAGTTTTATTGGGGATTTGCTCTTATATCAAAAAAACTTGAACAAAGGTCTGCCAAGAAATGGTTAGATGTTTCCAACCGACCCACAGAAGGGGCCATTTGGTTACCAAACACACTCAGGGGGGTGGACCAATTAACTGTCACAAAAGGGGAGGGTATCCTGCTCACCAACACATGAGGGGGAGTGGGGGGGTTGCCTGGTTTACCAACCCATAGGAGTGGGGGGGCATCAGGTTTACCAACACACAAAGGGGCTGTTGAGTTTACCGACATAGAAAGGGTTAAAACCTCTCTAAGCAAACCTTGGATCACTTGTCTCTAACTCTTCCTGGGACACATCCTTACTACAGTTATATCTGCAGCAGTTACTTGATTACAGGAGGCATACGGGACTTCTATATATCTGTCCAGATGCAACCAGATTATTAACATTAGAGACACACGTACACGATTACATGACTATCAATCATTATCTGCAGACAAGACGACTTCCATAGTGCGAGTGGCTGTCATTATTGAAGTGGTTTCTCTATTTCGGAACGCTCGTCATTTAACCCTAAAAATATATTTAACAATCTAATAATGCCAATACAAACTAACCAAGCCGCTTCTACTCATATAAAACCATCCTGGTCAATGTTCCGGCCACACATGACAGAACAGTCCCATGTAAACATTGTCGACTTTGGTCTTGAGTCCCCGGTAAGTGCCTCGTTCCTGCTGTGCCCAGTGTTACATCATATCCAGCTGGTGAGAAGAGAACACAAGGTGAGCGTGGCGATTCTTACATATGAAAGATTACAAATAGTGGGGCATAGTCAGATAACATCCTTACCAGATCATCCACGTCTCCTCCTTCTTCCGTCATGCTCGTGTCTTCCGTTTCCTCCTCAGCTTTGGCCAGGAACTGTGCGAGAGCGAGCGACAAGTCACATGTCAAATATCCCTCAGAGGGTAACCAGGTATGGACAGTAGATGTGCTACACACAGCAAAAAAAAAATGCATCCAGTGGCGTACCAAAATCGCCATAGCAACCCAGGCGGCCGCTATGGGGCCCGGGGCACAGGGGGGCCCAGCCAGGACACCCCCCTGGTGCTGTGCGGGTCGCCCGGCCCGTTAAGGCTTCAAAGGCTACTAGGCTACTGGCTGTCACTGGCAGCTGTGAGGAGGAACGTGTCACTGTTAGATCACTGACAACCTGACAGTGATCTGTGCAGCGGCACGTTCCTCCTCACAGCTGCTGCCGAGTCATTGGCGTTGGCAGTGGAGGCGGGGCCCAGCGACGGAGGAGGCGGGGCCCTGGGAGGGAAGAGGAGGCGGGACCCGGTGAGGGAAGAGGAGGCGGGACCCGGTGAGGGAAGAGGAGGCGGGACCCGGTGAGGGAAGAGGAGGCGGGACCCGGTGAGGGAAGAGGAGGCGGGACCCGGTGAGGGAAGAGGAGGCGGGACCCGGTGAGGGAAGAGGAGGCGGGACCCGGTGAGGGAAGAGGAGGCGGGACCCGGTGAGGGAAGAGGAGGCGGGACCCGGTGAGGGAAGAGGAGGCGGGACCCGGTGAGGGAAGAGGAGGCGGGACCCGGTGAGGGAAGAGGAGGCGGGACCCGGTGAGGGAAGAGGAGGCGGGACCCGGTGAGGGAAGAGGAGGCGGGACCCGGTGAGGGAAGAGGAGGCGGGACCCGGTGAGGGAAGAGGAGGCGGGACCCGGTGAGGGAAGAGGAGGCGGGACCCGGTGAGGGAAGAGGAGGCGGGACCCGGTGAGGGAAGAGGAGGCGGGACCCGGTGAGGGAAGAGGAGGCGGGACCCGGTGAGGGAAGAGGAGGCGGGACCCGGTGAGGGAAGAGGAGGCGGGACCCTGTGAAGAGGGAAGAGGTCACTCTCTGCAGGGTCACTCTCAGGTGGGCTGTGTGGGATATGAGGTGGTCTCTGCAAGCGGCATAACTAGAAATCACAGGGCCCCCTACAAAATTTTGATATGGGGCCCTGTGATTTCTAGTTACGCCCCTGACTGCATCTAAATACTTTGGACGTGTGTAGAACGGCCAGCTGCCCTTCCTCCTCCCCCCACAGCTAGCAATACCCAGCTGTCATTTTGACAGCCGGTGTGGGAGTCTAGATTTAAAAAGTATTTCCTCTTTTGCAGCCAAATTTGAGAAAAACCCCCACCATATGCTTGTTATGTGTTCCCATTCACACAGCATACCTGGAAATATATATTTTAAACAATATTTCTTGCCTTTTAGATGTCCCCGGAGCCTCTGCAAGCTTCTCTCTCAATTTCCAAGTGACGGGACACTATCTGTCGCCATAGATATACCAGGGACAAGCTAAGCTTACTTCATTAACATACAATGGGGGTAGTTTATCAAAACTGAGGCAGACAAACTCTGGAGCAGCTGTGCATGGCAACCAATCAGCTTCTCCATTTCATTTTCAAACCTTAACTGAACAAACTGAAGAGAGAAGCCGATTGGTTGCCATGGGCAAATGCTCCAGTTTTGATAAATTCCCCCCGGTGTGTCTAGATCGTTAAACCCTTTGTTAGGGCAGACAGTGTTCGAACCTAGTTCACAGCTGATAATGAGATCTGCCAGCACAGTACAGACCGGGATAATTCTGCCAAAATTACCCTTTACCCCCTTTCACTAAAAATCACACCCGCATACAGCTCTGCATGCTGATATGAAGTTATCTCTCATTCATTAGTTAAATGAACATATTTTTCTTTTACTTACAATTACTGTTTTTCCACTTCCTGGTCATCTTGGGCATTAGTGATGCAGCCTGTGCCTAAGAGATGCATCCTGGGAAGGTTACATCACAGAGCATTGCTGGGAAATCTCATCTGTAAACTGCAAAATCTCACAAGATCTCAGGCATAGGCGTTTACCCTGCCCTGAGATGATGTGCATGGTTACATGTCCTAGTCACATGTGCCAGAGTTCCAGGAAGTGAAGGGAGATATATTAATCTACCCTTAGTAAAACAAAAATGGCCGCTGTAAGAAGACTGGGGAGGAAAAGAAGAATAAGGAATGCAAAGAATACAAATCCGGCAATGATCTAGAGGTATCCGTGTGTGTAGATTTTCATTACTAAACATTTCTAAAGGGGCCTTTGGGGTCATTTTAAAGATAAAGGTAAAGTTCCTCTTCAACCTGTCCTGTTCCCCTCAGTACAGAGAACAACTGTTCTTTTAGGACAGAGCATGTATTGTGCAAGCAGCATATTAAAAAAAGGTTATGCTGTGTGATATCCTATGATGTGGTAAGCTATAAGAAACATGTAACAAATATATAATAGGTGTTATCCCAGTTTGGCTGTGAAAATACACTTTAAAGCGCCCCACTGCAAGATTAAAGGAGAACTATGAGGTGGGTGCTTTCCACTCACCTCATAGTTCTAGCCGACCTGTGACAATGAGACAGTCACAGGTCGGCTCAGTAGATCAGGAGGTGAGCGAACACATACCGGCGTTCGCTCACCTCTCGATCATGTCATGGCTCTCTGCCGTGACAGGGGAGGGGCTGGATTCCCCTCTCCCCGCTCCGATCCGCCAGCGCTGACTGTCAGGATCCGCTTCAGCGTCTCAGTATAACGCGAGCTGTAGCTCGCGGTATACTGAGCCTAGGGTGACGGGAGGACGCTAGTTTGTGTCCTCCCGTTACCCTAAGGAGAACTATGGGGAAAAGCCTTAACCCCATAGTTCTCCTTTAAGTCCAGACATAAATGTATTCTAAAGACAAATTTAGGGATTAGCGCATGTTATTGCACAATGCAATGCAGCGCATGTTGGGTGCTCCGCATTGCCTTTCATTCTAAATTACACCCCAATGCATGCACTACTTTTTTTTCAATGTATCCTATTGTAGTAATGCACATTGCAGCGCAACATATGTCCACTGGGAGATGCGCTGGGGTGCCATTATTCAGAATGAATGGCAACGCAATGCGCCAGCACACCTAGTTTTGTGCTGCACTGCATCGTGCGACAGCATGTGCTAGATTCACAGTAACAATGCCTTTAGCACAACTCTTTGGTGTGAATGGGCCCTAAAGCAGATTTTTTTTTCCTACTGCAAATCAAGTGAAGGAATCCCCTAAGGCCATGGTTCTCAACTGGTGGGTTGTGACCCAAAACTGGGTCGCAGCCCTGTGTTTAGTGGGTCGCCGCGTGCCTTCCAGACCATGCCTGGACCAGTGACGTCACATTCTGGCTCCTGGCACCTCTACAGGGCACGCAAGGGAGCTGTATAAGCAATGCTCATATGGATGGAGCTCCGTCACAGCACGGCCGCTCACACTGGACCCCAGGCTGAGGATCCACTCCACTTTTTTGTAAGGTCACCCGCATCGGAATGCGCAGTACCGCAATGCCTTGCAACTTGGGTCGCGACTTAATGACCGAGGACAAAGGTGGGCCCTGAGGTTACACAGGTTGAGAACCACTGATCTAAGGATTATTTCACTTTCATTGTCTAGATTACACCTCTTGCAGTGCCTACTAAGCCTTGATGAAAGGGGGGGGCGGGGGGGGGGACTTTTGATTCACATGTTGGCTATTTTAATGGTGCACACACATGGCTAAACTGACAGAAGCAATATGAATGTATATGTCAGGAGTTTACTACAACCTTTCCCTGCATGCTTCTGGCCTCATGGCCTTTCTCTGATGATCTCAGTTGTCTGGTGAGTGTTGTTCGTGGGCTGTGTGCCGGGAGACAGATATCAGGTGTGCAGGAACATACTGTACTGACAAAGCCACAGCGGGAGGGAGCTCAGACCTGCCGCTGTCTGTACATCGTTGTGAGTGATAAGGCGCTCGCGTCTCGCTCATTATACACAGAAGCTCTTACCTGTCTGGCCTCTTCGGGAGTCACAGAGCTGTCGGTGGATTCCTCAGATGTGATCAGGGACACGCCATCTGGGAGACAAAAGACACAATGACAGGCACGTGGCACAATCTCCTGATCCAGGCATATCGATCTGGTGTCTTTTTTTAAACTCCTTTAAGGTCAAAATACAATATAAAAAACACAATGGGATTTTAATTTGAACTGCAGGCTAGATTCTTATATAAGATATACACTGAGTGGCCAGATTATTATGACCACCTGACGTTTGTAGGCACATTAGCTATAATTGAAGTTGCTGGAGGGCCAGACCATTATAAATAGGGAAGCGGGTTGGTTACCACGACAGTAGAAGTGATTTGTTTCTGAAGATACGGGGAAACAACGCGATGTAACAGCCTTTGAACGTGGGATGATTGTTGGCGCTCGGAGCCATGGAGCGAGTATCAGCAAAACAGCAGAATTTGTTAAATGTTCAAGAGCAGCTGTTGTTAAAGTGTTTAAAGACCGGACTGTCAGCCGAAAATCTGGGTCTGAACGTGGGAATTGTGGCCGTCAGCGACTAGTCAATGGCAGAACGGGGGAGGGGCAAGACTGGTACAAGACAACAGAAGGGCGACAGTGCAGTGTCAGATTCCTCGCATCACCTTTCATCATCTCGTGGCGTCACGTGGCGGCCCAACGAAGTACTGATGGGGTGGTCATAATAATCTGGCCACTCAGTGTATATCCACCAAAAGTCCATTCCGACTAAATGCTGGTGTGGTCACACTCCCCCAATGGAGTAGAATACAAAAAATGATGAACATGAGCGCAGAGGAATCACAATGCTATAATCCCTGAAAGATATAACAAGCCAGTGAGTCAATCAACCTGCCCGGTGTTAACCTAAAACTGAAATATTAGTGTTGGGAGGACTGAAGACGTTTTATTAAAGTGTAAACATAGTCACACGGCAGCAACAGTAGTCCTCCACTTGTTGAGAGAATCGGGGGGGAAAACCTGAAGTGTTTTAAAATAAAAAGCCTCAAAAAGAACAAATTGATGACAAAAGACAATCTCTTTTATAAAAAAATTGGTATCCGACATGTTTCAGGTGTCTGCTTTTATACAGGTCAGACCTGAAGAAGTAGGAACCTGCAAACGTTGAAATGCCAATTTTTAATAAAAGACAATGATAAAAGACAAAAGCTAATAAGCCCCCTTTGTGATAGCAAAGAGGATGTGACAGATCCTCTTTATAGAGACATCAGAAGTCTATTAGACCCCTAATGTCACCTATAGATACCAAAGAAGCAGAGATCATGCTTTATCAGCTTCTTCTCCGGCTATAAAAGTCTTATATCTTTCAGGGATTATAGCATTGTGATTCCTCTGCGCTCATGTTCATCATTTTTTGTATTCTACTCCATTGGGGGAGTGTGACCACACCAGCATTTAGTCGGAATGGACTTTTGGTGGATATACACCGTCATTGAACCTTGAGACGATGTGTATTACATCACTTTAAGTCAGGGAAAGGATAGACTGACACCAAAAGTGATGTAATACACATCGTCTCAAGGTTCAATGATTGGAGGGGAGGTCAGGCGTTACAAGTGTGCTGATCCCCCTCAGATCCAGCCACAAAGACCTGCCATGCTGGGCACGCACGGGGGGACAATGGAGCCCAGGATAGCCAGCGGCGGATGGCGTACACCTTCCCCCCACCGTACAAGTGATTGGGCAGCTCTATAGCCTGTGATTTTGGTAGAACCGCTTCAAGTGAGGATGTTTATTTACAATGGTTGGTCAGAAGGCAGTTAAAGGCTCCCTATGAAAACTGCCTTTTTTATGAGCTGTTTGTTTTATGTAAAAGCACGACTTTCACTTCATCATTCCTGGTGGCAACGCTCTACAGGCTGATGTAGCCTCGGCAGCGCTGCCACCACGGTGCGTATGCTCCCATTCTCTTCTCCAGAGAGCACGGCATGCTCTGCTGTTCACAACTACAAGCTGCGCACATCAGACAGGAACGCTTCCAGCTCGGTGATTGAAAACCGCTACTCCAGGGAGAGTAGGGCAACACAAAGCAGCCGCAGGCATCATGGGACACATGACACGCTGGGACTAAGCCACACCCACAGACCGGGCCGTACACTGGGGATAAGGAATTGATTACATCATATGGATACATGCTGTATAGATTCCTGTGATTTATGGATGGATTGTTTATTCTTTGTGTACCCAACTTTCACTGTATGCCTAGAGCAGCGGTTCTCAACCTGTGGGTCGCGACCCAAAAGTGGGTCGCAACTCACTGTTGAAGGGGTCGCAGCATCCACTTCTGCTGCGCTAGGTGAGAGGCTCCTCAGCCTCCTCCTAGCTCAGCAGTGTCAGTGAGCAGGAGGACAGCAGAGGCTGTGAATATAAAAGTGCCGCTATACACACTCCCTGGCCGCTGCAGCGACATCTAGTGGCCGGGGAGTGTGTACAGCAGGGCTTTTCTAATTACAGCCGCTGCTGTCCTCCTGCCTCCCATACAATGTGAGCTCTGCAGGAGGCGGGCGTCTAAGCACTACTGTCGCTGAGAAGGCTGCATGGAGACAGAGCAGGCAAGCAGGTAGCAGGGGCTGGGAAGGACTTGTATTCTTGTGAGTGTGCTTCTATTTTTAGTCCCAAGTCCAGCGCATTACGAATTCTGGAGTCCAGCGCTCTGTTGGGGGTCACCACAACTTGGTAAATGTTACTAAGGGGTCCCGGCCCTAGAGAGGTTGAGAACCACTGGCCTGGAGGGATGTAGAAAGGTTTTCAACCACTTTAAGGCCCTTATTCACACACGAATCGGCCTGCACGTGCAGCTCCATTCTGCGTGCGGGGCTCTACCAAGCAGCTGCCGGGAAGGACAGGTGCTGCGTGTGATTAGTACGCAGCCCCCGTCCTTCTCTATGGGGCAACGCAGCCGTAGGTCCCCCTACGCTGGCCCACCCTGCATGTCCGTAGGGGTGCGGGTGAGCGTATTCATACGCCGCCGGAATGGATCCTGTATGCGTCCCGGCCAGAAAACCCGCACCCCTACGGATCTGCAGTTGAGGTGAGCGTAGGGGGGCGTACAGCCGTGTAGCCCCATAGAGAAGGACTGGGGCTGCATACTAATCACACGCAGCACCTGTCCTTCCCAGGAGCTGCTGGAGTACGGCCCTGCACGGAGCTGTACGTGCGGGCCGATTTGTGTGTGAGTGGGGCCTTAACGGATACAATTCTTTACATAACTTTGCATTTGAGTAGCTGCAAAATTATTCTGAAAAGTGCAGCAATCAAAGACACAAAGACAATTAACAAAAGTGAAGTTTTAATAAATTTATATGCAGCATCTTTACCCTCACAATGCTCTTTTATCTTTTACATTCAGGCAATGCCGCTCTCAGTAAACGAATGCAACCTTTTCCAGAGTTGTCCTTACTGTGACAGTTTGTTCCTTTTGAACCTGACATGCCTGATCGCTGCAGAGGTGGGG